TAGATTTTTATCATTACATCAAAGTCAACTTATACCCACACTCTTTATGTATTCCTCCTTAACGTGGTGTAATAACAACACAGTTCTCTAGGGTGACAAGTGTCATCTTCCCTTCTAGTGATGTAAACAGTTTGCCCTTATTAATAACATGTTGTTTCTTTATGTACTGTTTGCCTTTTTATGTCTCTCTTGAGTCTTGTATTTGAGGAACAAATTTCCTGTTAAGCTGCAACTTCTCAGTTTAGAGAGTTGCCTGTGGGACCAAGTGGTTCAATGTTGTGCCTTAGATCAAAGATCATTATGTATCAGAGGTTAAACTTGAACCCAGTTCTTCCTATCTCTTAGACCCCCTCTCTAGACACTATGTGATGCTGCCTTTGTAGAAAGTGATAGCAATTAAGAAAAAAAAATTAAGAGTATCAATAACATATTTAAAAATAAAATACATAAAAAACAAAAACATGAAAAGAGGACAGTGAATTATTTTATGATCATCTTCTTGAATGTAATACTATAAAAAAGAACTGCATGGAATAAGAGTTTATGGCTTTATACACCACCCTCTTTTTTGTATTCTTTATGAATCACAATGTTTGTGCTTGTGGAGTAATGAGTTCATATTTTTTAAAATGAAGAAGGAAGAAGAGGCAGAGAAGAGGAATGCAGCAGCTCTAGTCTGTAAAGGAAAGCAATCTGCCTCACAGAAGGGATGGAACAGAGAGGTGCTGTGGAGACTGATCACATACATTTCATTATGCACAGTTCCCAGCCAAGCTCTACATAACGAATGGGTGACATATATTCATGTATGAGTGTGTGTGTGTGTGTGTGTGTGTGTGCCTTTTGCAGGTGGAGGTAAGACATATTCAGATATAACCAAAAAATGAAACAAAAGTAAAGACTCATCTGTCAGAGAATTGATTATTTCAAAGAAGTACTCTTGGAAGCACATCACCTGTGTCTGTATAAAAGAAGCTGCTCATACCACTACTTTATTCTTTCTTCTTGCAAGAATACTACAAAGAGGGGCAAGTAGATGGTGTAGTGGGTAGAGCACCAGCCCTGAATTCAGGTAGACCTGAGTATACACCTGGCCTCAGACACTTGACACTTACTAGCTATGTGACCCTGGGCAAGTCACTTCACCCCATTGCCTCTCCAAAATGGAAAAAAATTCTACAAAAGAAAATCATTGGGAGTAATGGTAACAAGTAGCATTTATCTAACATTTTGAATTTTGCTAAGCCCTGCATAAATATTATCTCATTTATTCCTCATAAGAACCCCATGATGAAGGTGCTATTATTATCTTCATTTTACAGAAGAGGAAACTGAGGCAGACAGAGGTTAAGTGACTTCTCCAAGGTCATACAGTTGGTGGTGTCTCTGGCCAGATCTGAAATTAGTTCTGCATGACACCAGGTCCAGGGCTCTGTCCACTGCACCATCAAGCTGGTATCAGTTCATACATTTAGAGCTGGAAGTGACCTGAGAGGTCATGAACTTCTACCTTCTCATTTTACAGATGAGGAATGAGGGGCTCATGGAGTCCAAGTTCTTGCACAAAGCCACAGTAGTGATGCCCAATGTAGGGTCGAAACTGAGGCTTACACCCTGGGTGTCACTCTGAACCCCTAACTCCTGCCTCTATAATTAGCAGTCAAGTCTTTCCATTTCTACGTAACACCTTTCTTATGTGCCCCCTTCTCTCTTCTGACAGTGCTACCACCCTGGTCCCTACCCTCATCACCTCATGCCCAGGCTATTGCAACAGCCTTCTGATGGGGGCACCTCGGTGGTGCAGCGGACAGAGCACTAGCCCTAAAGTCAGAAGAACCTGAGTTCAAATCCAGTCTCTGACACATAACACTCATTGTGTGACCCTGGGTAAGTCACTTAACCTCAACTGCCCTAACCACAAAAAAAGCCTTCTGATGGATCTCCCTGCCATAACTCTGTCCCTGATCCAGTCCATCTCCCTCTCACCTGTTCAGTAGATCCTCCTCTATTTAAGGTCTCTTCATGTCAGTTCTCTATTCAATAAATTCCAGTGGTTTTCTATTCCAGAATGAAATATAAAGTCCTATTCGGTTTTCTAAACTCTTCCTAACCTGGCTGCCTCCTACCTTTCCAGTCTTTCTGCACTACTCTAACATACCAACAACCTATTTCCTGACTCTGAGCATTTCTACCCGTTTTGCCGCATGCCTGGAACTCTCTCCTTCCTCCTGCTCATCTCCTGGCATGCCAGGCTTCCTTCAGGTCCCACCTAAAATCTCATCTCCATTCAGCAAGACCTTTCCCCCATCCCTTTAATCCCACAACTGACCTTTTGCTGACTAACTCCAATTTCTCCTGCCTACATACTGCTTGTACATAGCTGGGTGTTGTTGTTGTCTCCCACTGACTGGGTCCTTGAGAGCAGAGGTTGATTTTCCCTGTCTTTGTACCTGCACCACTTAGCACAGTGCCTGGCACACAGAAGGTGCTTAAAAATGCTTGGTGACTTACCCTGAATGACTGTGAATGAATGAGGACGTGGATGCAAGGTCGGTTGTTGTTCAGTCATTTCAGTCGTGTCTGACCCTTTTGTGACCCCATTTAGGGTATTCTTGGCCGGGATACTGGAGTGGTTTGCCATTTCTTCCTCCATCTCATTTCATGGATAAAGAAACTGAAGCAGACCAAGTTCTGTGACTTGCCCGGGGTCACACAGCCAATAAGTGTCAGAGGCCAGATTTGAACTCAAGAAAAGGATTCTTCCTGACTTCAGGCTGTACCACCTAGCTGCCTGATTTACCTGAAGGGTGTGAGGCTTGGATCAAAATAAGCCAGCATTTGTCATTTTTAGTAAAACCCACAGTTTTGCTTCTCCAATGTACACATGAGGGATAGAATGAAGAATTCTGGATGTATATGCAATATTAATATTAATTGTCCAACTTGTTTATGTCCCTCCCACAGTCCCCCAAATCTCTATCAGGATTATTCTCAGCTCTCTGCCTGCCTTTATTGGGAGAATGTAAAGTGTGAATGATGTGGGTCCTGGGATGAGTGAGGTAGTGGGGGGGTGGGGCAACAGAGCTCAGTCCTGACAAGACAGCAGTCACTGCTCTGACCTAAGGTTAAGCAGCTGTGCTGAGGCAGCCAAATGTCACCAGGAGGTTTTTCTTCAGGGCTGGATCACTGTGACAGGCCAGCTGTAATGATGGTGATAGCAATGCAGTCCAGCATCTTCAGCCTCTACAGTGATGATTGTGAGAGTGTAGTCTGTCCCAGACCCACTGCCACTGAACAGACAGGGACTCCAGAATGCAGGATGGTAGCAGCAAAGATCAGGAGCTTGGGAGGCTATCTTGGTGGCTTATGGTAACAGGCTAAATTATTGCTTGTCAATATTCTCTTGTCAAGATATTCGTAGACACCCTGTTTTCCAGGGCTAAGGCCAAGCAAGTAAGCTGTGTCCTGAGCTTGGCATAACAACGATCCTCTGTCCTCACCATCTGGGTGAGCTCACCCCCTGGGAAAATCACATAATTATGACGTTGCTTTGACCAGGTACCCTCTGACCTCAGAAAAGCACCAGAGAAGTAGCCATGTTCTGGAATCAAACTTGTCCAATTGTTGCTGTTACTTCTCCCAGCCTGAGCTGAAATCCAAGTTCAGGCACTTGCTAGCTGGGTGACCGTGGGCAAGTCACTTCACCCTAGTTGCCACATCTATAAAATGGTGTCTGTAACAACATCTGCTTCCCAGGGATTTTGTGAAGACCAGATGAGATAGTCATTATAAGGTACTTAACCCTGCCTGGAACACAATGAGCTCCACCTAAACGTCAGCTCTGAGTTTTACTGAGCCCATCTAGCAGACGACTGGCATTCCCCAGGCCCAGCCAAACGCTCTCAGCGTCTCCTGGTTTCCCTCGGGTCAGTCTCCTTGGCAGAGGAAACAGACACAAAGCCAGCACGGCCTTGCCCTGGCTGGCGCCCCCTTGCCCGCTCCTGCTGCCCCGGGCCCACTCGTGTCCTGCTCTTCCTGGATGCCCCAGGGGGCTGAGCGAGCGCTGCGGGGATCCTGCCCCAGCCCGTGGTCTCCCTCCGCAGAGCCCTGTCTTCCCTGCGTGTTTCCGTCACTTTCTGCGACAGGATGCTGGTGCACAGCAAGCCTTTCATTGGAGTCGCGGCCTGTTGTGACTGGGTGCAGGAGTGGGAGAGACTATGGCCTTGACTACCCACGGAGGAGCCGTCGAGGTCTCTGAGCCCACGCCTGGTTACTCCCCGTGGGATCTAGGGCTGTGACGACCACGCAGGGGTAAGGGGGAGGGGTGGGGGGAGGCGGGCCTCTTGGCAGAAGAGCTGGGAGGGGCGGGGCAGGCAGGGAGGCAGTACACATTCAAGGACGGGGAAAAGGGCCGAGCCCCAGGCATGCGCAGAAGGCGCCTCACCCTTCAGACTACGATTCCCAGAAGGCCGTACTCGCTTCAGGGGCATTTTCCCAACCCCAAAGGGAGGGAGCACTGGACTTCCTTCTTACTAGGCCACTTCCGCTTGCTTTTCTCTCTGCTTGTTCCATCCTCGCTGGTTCCTGCTTTCCCTTCTCTGTTCTGGGCTGAAGTGTGACCCGGTGAGCGGGGCTTAGAGCGTGGCCAGGCCCAGGCGGAGCCGGTGCGGGGGTGCGGCGGGGTCGGAGCACCGGGGGCTGGCTGGGGAGCTCACGGAGAATGCGAGGAGCGTCCGGCAGAGAAGGAAGGAAGCCCCGAGGGGCTCCCAGGGGCTCCCAGGGGTCTCGTGGCGGCCAGTGCTTGGGGGGGGGGTTCGGGGGTTGGAGGCCGACCAGACGGAGGCGGAGCCTGGGGGCGGGTTTTAATGCTCCTTCAGTCTCGCCCCCAGCTCCCTGCCCTCTCCGTTATCTCCCATCAGTGGAGGAGTGGAAATGTCTGGTCTGAGCAGGGCAGACCCCGGCGTGACCCCTCACTCTCCTGCTTTTCCTGTACTCCTCAGCTCTCCCTTCTGTGGCCTCTGCTCCGCCCCAGGAGGACAGCCTGGAGGAGGAGGGAATGGTTCCTGCCCTGACAGCCACGCCCGGGAAGGTGAGTTCCACTTGCTGCTTTCCTCAAATAGCATCTTAGGCCAGAGACCGTGGGATAGGTTTCTTTGTCCTGTACTGTAACACTAGAAATCGTGGGCATCAGAGAATCATATAACCACAGACACCACTGCATGCTCTGCACACTGAAAAAAAGAAAAAAGACCTTACAATTACTTTGTGTTTTTTTTTCTAATTTTGAATTCTAAATCCTTTCCCACTTTCCAGTCCTTCCCCCACCCTTGAGAAGGGAAAGATAGGATAGCCATTATGGCTATAAGGTAATGCAGAACAGTTGTATATTACTCCTGGTTCAAAAAACAAAAGTAAGAAATATGAAAGTGAGAAAGAATGTGCTTCAGTCCTCACTCAAAGTTCATCAGTTCTCTCCGTTTTTTATAATGGGTCCTTTAAACTTTTCCTGGGTCATTGTATTCATCAGAGTGGCTGAGTCTTTCACAGCTGATCATTTCTGCTACTGTGCTCTGTCTTCCTGTTTCTTCTCACTTTTCACATTTATTGGCGTTATTTATAATTCATGGGATAAAACAAGCATTTTCATAGCAGAATAAAAACGAATTACATATGAAATTGCAAATCTGTTATGTTCAACTTGTTATTCCTGTTAAATGTATTACAAAGTTACCGTGTGAATTTTTTTTCTCCCTCCTCCCCACTATGGCAACCATTAGAGACAAGTAGGAGCATGTGTGTGTTTGTGTTTGTGTGTCTGCAGATATATATATATGTATGTAATATTCTTCTATACATCCTTTAATTTTCAGTTCTTTCTCTGGATGCAAATAATGTCTCATATGTCCTCCATAGTTAATTTAGGTATTTACAGCAATCAGAATAACTTATTCAAATTCATTCTTAAAACAACATTGCTATTAGTATATACAGTGTTCCCTTGGTTCTCTGTAAGTCTTTCTAAGATCATTGAGCTCATAATTTCTTGTATTACTGTAAAAATCTATCATAATTGTTCAGCCATTCCCCACTTGTTGGGCATCCCTGCAATTTCCAGTTCTTTGCCACCAGAAAGAGAGCTGCTATGAACATTTGAGAACATATGGGTTCTTTTCTATTTTCCCTAATCATCTTTGGAAATGGATCTAGTATTTGTATTGCTGGATCAGAGAGTATAGATAGTTTAATAGCTTTTGGGGCAAAATTCTAAGTTGCTGTCCAAAATAGTTGGATCAGTTGACAATTCCACCAGGAATGAATTAGTGTCCCAATTTTTCCACATCCCCTCCCAATATTTGTTGCTTTCTCTGTCTATCATTTCAGCCACACTGATAGGTATAAAATGATATCTCGAGGTGTTTGAATTTTCATTTCTCTAATCGATTATGATTTAGAGCATTGTTTCACATCAGTATAAATTGTTTTGATTTCTTTGTTACAAACCTGCCTGTTCATATCCTTTTGCCACTTATCAATTAAGAAATGATTTGTATGACAGATTTCATAAAGTTCTTTATATATTTTAGGTATAAGACCTTTATCCGAGACCATCTAGAGAGCATTTTTTGCAATTTTTTGATTTACGTCTTACCTTGACAACATTTGTTTCATTTATACAAAACCTTTTTAATTTAATATAAGCTGGAGCAGGATGGTGGTTTAAAAAAGGCAGGAACTCTCCTGAGCCCCCCCCAAATACCTTTAATAATTATTCTAAAGAAGTTCTAGAGCAGTGGAACCCACAAAAGTCAGAGTGAAACAATTTTCCAGCCCAAAACAACTTAGAAGGTTGTCAGGAAAGGTTTGTTGCACTAAGGTGAGAGAGTAGTGCAGTTCTGCACAGGTTGTACCTGTGTAATCAGGGCCCAGCAAACTGGAAGCAGGCCTTGGGGTGACTGAATTACTGGCAACAGTGGTGGTTTCCAGACCTCTCAGCCTAGAGATGCCAAAAACAACTTAGAAGGTCAGCAGGAAGGGTCTGTTGCACCTTGGTGGGAATAAAGGACAGGCTGAGTGAGTACAGCCCGATTCTGACCATGGAAAATTACTTGTGGTGTCAAGGAAGATCCAAACACATACTCAGAAGAAAACAAAGTCAAAGCTCTTACATCCAAAGCCTACAAGAAAGATATGAATTGGTGTCTGGCAATGAAAGAGCTTAAAGAACTTTTGAAAATCAAGTAAGTAGAGGAGAAATGAGAGTGAAGCAAGAAAGTCGTGAAAAGTGAGTCAACAGCTTGGTAAATGAGATGCAAAAAAATGTTGAAGAAAATAACTCCATAAAAAACATAGCAGGCCAAATGGAAAATTACAGGAAAATTCACAGGAAAAAAAATGCTCTCCATATTTCTTCCACAAACACGTGGAGAATTGCCATTAAATGAATGGAGAGCAGCAGAAATAAAGGGGTAAAGCAGTTGTTCTCCTAAGAAAACTTCAGATGACCTTAGAAAAGAGAGGACCTCCAAGGGCTGAGTGTTGGGGTAAGTGAAGTGTAGTCACTTCCAGGCTGACTTCATTGAATCAACAGATTAGAGGCCCTGCATCAGCTCTGTCAAGAAGCAAGCTAGGCCTCAAGAAATTTTACCTCAGAAGCTTGCACCTCAAACTGTTGCCTAAGGACCAGCAGAAGGCTGAATGTAGGATGACTGAAAAACCCTCCAGCCCTTCCCTCTGTTTCGCAAAGCTAGATCTACCAGAGCTGACCAGAAGTTATCTGGGGTTGTAGCTGTTGGTGAGAAGTGAGCACATACCTGGTGAGTGCAGTACCACAGGGACGAAGAACATTTTGGGGGCAGAATGGCTAGAGGCCTGAACTGTGGTTTAAGGGAGGAAAGGAGTCCCTGAGGTTGAGCCCTTCGGCAGAATTCAGAAAATAACAGTAAGCATGACTTGAGGCCTAGGGCAACATTACCCAGAACTTGGGGATTAAAACTTGATTATAATAAAATGCTGAAAATCAAAATAAGCAAGCAGAGGAAAAGAACCCAATTAGATAGACACTTTGGTGATAAACAGTATCTGGGTTCATATTCAGAGGAAATAGTGAGGTAAAAAAAGCCACTCCTGTCCCAGAAAGTAATGTTAAATGGTCACTAGCCCAAAAAGAACTCTTGATTAAACTTAAAATGGAACTCGAAAAATTAAATGAGGGAGATTGAGAAAAAATTAGAAAAAAATAAAAGCAATTGAAAAATTATGAAAAGGAAGTTAGCCAATTGGAGAAAGAGTTATAAACTCTTTTCAAAATTATATTTTATTTTTCCACTTAATAGTTTTTTATTTCAAATGACAAGTAAGGATAGTTTTCAACATTCACTTTTGATTTTGAGTTACAAATTTTTTTTTCCCTCCCAGCCTTTCCTTCCGTTTCTCCTAGATGGGAAACAGTCAGCTATAGGTTACACATATACACTCATATTAAACATAATTGTTGTGAAAGAAGAATCAGAACAGGCTGGAAAAAGCTACAGAAAACAAACAAAAAGCAAAAAAAAAGTGGAAATAGTATGCTTGCTCTGAATTCAGTCTCCATAGTTCTTTGTTTGGATGTAGATAGCATTTCCCCTCATGAGTCTTTTGGAATTGTCTTACATCATTGTGTTGCTGAGAAGAGCCAAGTCTGTCAAAGTTGATCATTACACAATTTTGCTGTTACTGTGCATACTATTCCCTGTTCTGCTCACTTCATTCACATCAGTTTATGTAAGTCTTCCTGTGTTATTCTGAAATCTCCTGCTCATTATTTCTTATAGCACAATTGTATTCTGTTACATTCAGGAAGTAGAACTTGTTCAGCCATTCCCTATTTGATAGGCATCCTTTCAATTTCCAATTCTTTGCCACCAGAAAAAGAGCTGCTATAAATATTTTTGTACACGTTGGTCCCTTTGCCTTATAATCTCTTTGGTATACAGACCTAGTTATGGTATTGCTGGATTAAAAAATGTGCAGTGTTTTAGGCCTTTTGGGCATAGTTCCAAATTGCTCTCCAGAATGGTTGGATCAGTTCACAACTTCATCAGTTCTTGTTGGGCTTTTGTCTAAACTGCATGTTTCTTTGACTTGGTTATAGATTTCTTGGGTTGTTTTCTGTAATGAATTCAGCATGTGACTTTTAAAACTGTCCTCTTTTTCTTTTTCAACTTCCTCCTCTTCTCTTCTGTGCATCTTTTTGCTTTTTTTCTGACAATACTATCTCTAGCTCTCTTCCTTTTACATGCTACTCTCTCCTTGCACCTCCAGTAAAAAAGGAAAAACACAGTGCATTTATAGCCAGTAAGCATAGTCATGTAAAATAAATAAACAAGTTTGTCACCACTTTTCTGTCAGCATTTAGGTAGCAAGTTTCATTATCAGTTCTCTGGAATCATGGGTGATTATTGAATGGTATTGTCATTTGTACATTGTTTTCTTAGTTCTGCTGTTTTCTCCCTTCATTGCTTCATGCAACTCTTCCTATTTTCTTTGAAAGTATTGTTTTCGAGATTTCTTAGGGCACAATAATATTCCACTTCATGCAACGATCAGGTATTTTCCAGTTGATGGGTATCCCTTTGTTCCTAATACTTTGCTGTAACAGAAAGGACTCTCAAGGTCTCTTTTAAGAACTTTGGAAAGGGATATGTGACTTGAGAGAAACCGGTACAGTACTGCCCATCATGGCGTGCCCTCATCAGAGAGGATGCTATACTCTATGAGCAGAGCAGAATGGAAGTAGCTCAGAAGAAATATGAGATGATTAAATTTAGAGAATCCACTCCGAATGTTCACGTGGATTATTTTTTTTCATAGTTCAGTATCTTTTTTGGATTATTTATATTTTTGAAGTATATATGTATTATATTTTGTTGGGTCTGCTTATTTTGCACTGTCAGTTAATGCATATCCTAAAATGCTTCTCAGAATTGCTTATATTTGTCATTTTTATCTCTATAAATGACTGTAGTTCATATGCCATATTTTTCCAGCTATTCTTTAGTGTTAAGAATTCAGTTTGTTTCCAGTTCTTTGCTGCCCAAAGAGTGATCTTATGAATGTTTTGTCCAAAACTGAATTGTGCCTTGGTCTGGTTATACTGAAAGGGAATAGCAACATTGTACATTCAGAATAGCCCTGGATTTGAAGGCAGGAGGACCTGTGCTCAAAGTGTAGATCCAGCACTTGCTCCCCTTTTGACCTTAAGTAAGTCAGGTTTCCCTCTGAGGGCCTCACTTCCCTAATTTGTAAAATGGGAAAATTGGATTCTTAAGTTTCTTCCCGCTCTAAATACATTAATTGGAAAGTAATGGTCCGTTAACACCCTTTTCAATAGTGAAAAAGTGTTCACATGCTGTTACACACAGAAGATTGTAATCCCCCATACGCTCCTTTGCTCTTGTGGTTCCAGGAGCATGGAACACAATGGTGTTCAAATCAGAGCAGCACATTTTAAGAAGCACAGCAATTGGATGAATAGAGGAAGGTAGCTGTCTTACTTGTGAAGAGACCAGGCTGATTGGTCAAAGAAACTGGGTTTGTTTAGATTGGACAGGATAGCTATCTTCAGCTATTTCATTTTCATTGTTTATTTCAGCGAGTAGAAAAACAAGTTAGCCATATTACTCCTTAAGCTCAGAGGGTAAAGTAGGAGCCACAGGTGTTCAGTAAAACAAAAATGAAGGATGAATTTAAAATGGATGTGTTGGAACCATTTACAACAATATGCATTTATTAAATACTACCTAGTGCCAGTCACTGTGCTAAGTGCCAGGATACCAAGGATGCAAAATAACTCCTTCCCTTAAGGAATTTACAGACTAATCAGAGAAGAATTCTTTTTTTTAAAAAATTTTTATTTGTTTAATATTTAATTTATGGAATAAAGCAAGCATTTCCAATACGTATAGAATAAAAAAAAGATGATTGTATAGGAAACTAAAAATCTGTTATCTATAACTTGCTAATCCTTTTAAATATATAATGAAATTCCACATAAATTTTTCTCCCCCCCCCAACTCTACACATGGCTACCATTAGATACGAAAATCTGTATATGTGTGTGTGTGTGTGTGTGTGTGTATACACACTTCTGTTCTTTTTGGGAGAGGAATTCTTAAGTGCCTGCTATATACTAGACACTGTACTGGGATGCAAATAAATAAATGAAACAATTCCTCATGGCAAGAGAAAGATGAAATGGCTGAAGAAACAATGGTTCAGTCTTTTGGGCATATCAGTATATTAAACAATGCATGGCAATTGCACAGAAAACTAGGGCTGGGCCCCTTCCTCATCTTAGGGCTGGATCCTGAATAGGGCAAGACATACTTTTATAAATTAAAAACAATCAAAGAAGACCAATTAATTAAAAGCAAATAATAAAATGTTAGGTAATCTGATTTCTAATTGGAGAAACAACTGGGAACTTTTCATAGTAGTATACAATGAAAGGAACATGGGAACAGTAATTAATTGTTCAGTAGGGGGCCAGTTTTCAGATAAGACATGGGTTGCTTCAGATGTACAACTGTGAGAAAACTCCTTACATCACTCTTTTTGCATTTGAGTGGGTTTCTGATCAGCATAATCTAGGTCTTTAAGGAGTAAACAGCAAGTAGAGTAGGTCTCATTTCTGAGCCACGCAAGGCTAAGTTCAAACAATGCAATTAGGTTATCTCCCAGATTCCACAATTGAATAAATTTTTCTCACAATACAGAAGTTGGACTAGACCTGTGATTGAACAGAAAAAGAACTGAGCTACCTCCAGAAATGAGTCACAAAATGGAGTCAGTGTGGTTGACTCAGTTGCCTCAATTCCCTGTACCACTTGCTGTCCTAAAACCCTCAATTCCCCCGCATTAGTAGCAAGTAGTTTATGTTTGAACTTCATAATAGTAAAGTGCTATAGCTGGGTAGTCACAAATGTTTTTGGTGTTTCAGGAATCAGTGACATTCAAAGATGTGGCTGTGGAATTCACTAAGGAAGAGTGGGTACAATTGAACCCATCTCAGAAAAAATTGTACAGGGATGTGATGCTGGAGAACTATAGGAACTTGGTGTCTTTGGGTAAGAACAGTTACCCCCTTTGGAGTCTTGATATATACTGTGAGAGCAAGATTTTAACACTTGTTCTTTGGCATGCAAAAGGAAACTCTTCCTAATCCATTTGTAGCCAAGAGACAGATTACTTGTGCTACCTGTTTTCAGGAAAAAGGTCCAAGCTTAGTATGCCTGGAAATTGATTTCTTGATTTTTTGTTATCCTTGAGAATGTATCTTCCCCTCTCTATTGCCTCAAATCCAAGATATTCTTTTCAATCCCAGTGTAGGGTTCATCATGCAGTATTCCCACTGCCTAAGCAGTCACCAAGTCAAATGAACTATTTTTCCTTGAGTCCTACTCAGTAATCCATTTTACCATAATACAGAGTATCCTTCCAGTGGTCTTTTGTACTATCCTTAAGGTCTTCCTAGCATGCCTACTTTTTTTCCAAAGGGAGTTTGAACTTGTTTTGAATTCTTTTATTAAGTTTTGTGGATACTTTTTGAAAAAACAATTAATTTCTCCTTCCTCTGCCACCTCAAAAAAACAATAAAAAGAAACAAAAAACTGTACTGCTCCCTCCAACCAACCCATTGAGCTTCCCATGATTGAAGAAAAAAAAAAACTCAGACAAAATCAGCTAACATAGTGCTCTTGGGGATATAAGAGATGTCTAGCACCCTTATTTCCCTACTTTTCTAGTAAAGTTGGAGGGAGTATTTCATCTATCTCTTCAATGATGGAAGTCGATATGAGATGACTGCCTAGCACTTTTTCATTTTCAATGTACAGGATTTGCGGCTTCCAGACCAAATGACAGTGACCAGTTGGAAAGAAAGGAAGTGTCTTCCCTGCCAGAGGCAGATATTCCAAGAAGCAGCTGTCCAGGTGACTACATAAAACCAAGCAGATGAGTCATTGCAAACTTGTAATCTGTTGTTCATTTTAGGTCAAAGCTCTTGAAAAACATTGAACAAAGTGGTCTGTCAAAGCTTCTCTGCCCTGTTGAGAGCAGTTGAGAGTTTTAACTTCATTTTTTTACCTCAAGAAGTTAGTTTTTTAGTGTATCTCTTTACTGTAATGTACCTCCACTCCCAAAGAAAGTTGTTGCCTCAGTATAGGGCAGTTATATCTCTTCTGTTCATTGAAGATCACCTTACTTCATCTGCCTCACTTGCATGAATTCATTCTTGTAAAGTAAGCACAGTATTGAAAGTCTTAAGTCGTGTGCTCTTTTTCCTTGTGAGTTCTTTTCTGATATTTTCTTGTCTTGTGTCTATGATTATATTGCTTTGCTGCTACTTTTAAAAATAATCCTAACCTAATTCCCCTTTCTTCAGCCTGTCATGTTATGTGTCATCCTGTTTTTTCTTTATGCTTTGAAATTGTGTTTATAAAGGCACTTTAATATGTTCATGTCACAGGACTTGTATAGCCATAACCTCATCTTTGCACCTACAGATTTTCATTATTTTGCTATTTTTTTTTAAAGAAGACTTTTTTTTTTTAAGGCAGTGGGGTGAAGGAACTTTCGCAGGATCACACAGCTATTACATAGCAATTGTTTGGTCTGAGGTCAGATTGGAAGTCTGGTCCTCCTGATTTCTGGACCAGTGTTCTCTCCACTGTGCCACCTAGCTGCCCTCTTTTATTTTGCTCTTTTACGAAAAGCTGTTGTGAAAATTTGCTGAGAGTGCTGTGTTTGCTTTCAGTAACATATTGAGGCTGCAGACCTACTACTGGGGCCATTGGGTGAAAGGCTATGAACAGTTTTGTAGCTCTAGCCGAAATTCCTATCTTTTAAGGAAAATGGTAGCAGCAGCAGCTTAATAAGTAGGTATTTTAACATAATTCCCAAACTTTATCATTTTCGAGTATCTTGCTAATCTGAAGGCTGTTTATTGCTACCTCAAAAATTGTTTTCATTTATGCTTCTTTGATTATCAGAGTTTGAGTAATGTTTCAGGTAATTATTAGTAATTTCTCTTGTCAAAAACACCGTAGGTCTACATCTCACAAATTTCAATCAATTTTTTACAAAGTAGATATGTTAGATTTTTAGAGGAAATTTATAGCAACAGTTGTCATGTTTTCACCCTCATATTTCTTCTTTATTCTGTTGACTTCTTATATCTCTTTCTCTTCCCCACTCTAAACTTAGTTCTGTATTTTCTTTCTGTTCAGTCGTTTCCCTTCCTATTTTCACCTCAGAGGGTAAGGATACATCAAAATCATCTCTTGGGCTTTTTTTCTGAACATTCTTTTCCATTCAAATGTCAGCCAGTGAAAGTAGAGTAAGGGTTCATTCATCCCCCTTGGTAATTTCATCTTATGTCAATTCATTTACATGTTACGTTGGAGTCATTATGCTTTCACATAAGATAAACCAATCTCTACGGGAAGGCTAGTGAGACTGGCCTTCTCAAGTGAGAAGGCAAGAGAATAGCTCCAAAACCTTTGAGCAACTAAGAGCCTTGGGAAAGGGTGAAAAAGACAGGGTTAATCAGCTCTGTATTCTTCCTTTCAGAGAGCAGAGAATTTGCTGGAGATAAACCTCTTGAATGTAATGGATATGGGAATGCCTTCTGGAGCAAGGAGCATCTTGCTGTGTGTCAGATAATTCGTACTGGAGAAAAACCTTATGAATGTAGTAAATGTGGGAAAGGCTTCAGGAGTAAGTCTGAGCTTACTGTGCATCAGAGAATTCATACTGGAGAGAAGCTTTATGACTGTAAGGAGTGTGGGAAGGCTTTCCCCTATAACTCATTTCTTACTCAACATCAAAAAATTCATACTAGAGAGAAACCTAAACCTTTTGAATGTAGTGAATGTGGAAAGGCCTTCAAGATTAAGAAACAACTTACAGTGCACCAGAGAGTTCACACTGGAGAGAAACCTTATGAGTGTAGTGAGTGTGGGAAGGCCTTCAGGATTAAGACACAACTCACAGTGCACCAGAGAGTTCACACCGGAGAGAAAAATTATGCATGTACTGTGTGTGGGAAGGCCTTCAGGATTAAGACACAACTAATACTGCACCAGAGAGTTCACACTGGAGAGAAACCTTATGAATGTAGCGAATGCGGAAAGGCCTTCAGGATTAAGACAAAACTTACACTGCATCAGAGAGTTCACACTGGAGAGAAACCCCATGAATGTAGGAATGTGGAAAGGCTTTCAGGAGTAAGGATCGTCTTATAGTGCATCAGAGAATTCATACTGGAGAGAAACCTTATGAATGTGGTGAATGTAAAAAGGCCTTTAGGAGTAAGGAACAAGTTAAAGTACATCAGAGAGTTCATACTGGAGAGATGCTTTATGAATGTAAGCAGTGTGGGAAGGCTTTCCCGTTGAACTCACATCTTATTCAACATCAAAAAATTCATACGGGAGAAAAACCTTATGGATGTAGGGAATGTGGAAAGGCCTTCATGAGAAAGGCACATCTTAATGTGCATGAGCAGATTCATATTGGTAAGTTTCTTTTTGAATGTAAGGAGTGTGGGAAGGGTTTCGCATACAACTCAAGTCTTATTCGACATCAAATAATTCATACTGGAGAGAAACCTTATCAGTGTAGTGAATGTGGGAAGGCCTTCAGGATTAAGACACAACTTACACTGCACCAGAGAGTTCACACTGGAGAGAAACCCCATGAATGTAGGGCATGTGGAAAGGCTTTCAGGAGTAGGGGTCATCTTATAGTGCATCAGAGAATTCATACTGGAGAGAAACCTTATCAGTGTAGTGAATGTGGGAAGGCCTTCAGGGTTAACACACAGCTTACGCTGCATCAGAGAGTTCACACTGGAGCGAAACCCCATGAATGTAGGGAATGTGGAAAGGCTTTCAGTAGTAAGGATTCTCTTATAGTGCATCTGAGAATTCATACTGGAGAGAAACCTTACGACTGTGGTGAATGTAAAAAGGCCTTTAGGAGTAAGAAACAACTTAGAGTACATCAGAGAGTTCATACTAGAGAGATGCTTAATGAATGTAAGGAGTGTGGGAAGGCTTTCCTGTATAAGTCACAACTTATTCAACATCAAAGAGTTCATAATGGAGAGAAACCTTATGAATGTGGTCAATGTCAGAAGGCTTTCCGGACAAAGGCATCTTTTACTCTGCATCAGAAAATTCATTTTGGAGACATTCCTTATAAATGTAAAGAGTGTGGGAAGGCTTTCCTCTACAACTCAGATCTTACTCGACATCAAAACATTCATACTAGAGAGAAACGTTATGAATGTAGTGAATGTGGGAGGGCCTTCAGAATTAAGTCAGAGCTTGCTGTGCATCAGAGAATTCATGCTGGAGAGAACCTGTATGAATGTAAGGAGTGTGGGAAGGCTTTCCCCTACAACTCACAGCTTATTCGACATCAAATAATTCATACTGGAGAGAAACCTTATCAATGCACTGTGTGTGGGAATGCCTTCAGGACAACAGCAGGTCATACTAAGCATCAGAGCATTCATACTGGAGAGAAATCTTATCAATGCACTGTTTGTGGGAAGGCCTTCAGGACGACAGCAGGTCATACTAAGCATCAGAGCATTCATATTGGAGAGAAACCTTATGCGTGTAGTGAATGTGGAAAGGCCTTTAAGAGTAAAACACAACTTACTGTGCATCAGAAAATTCATAGTGGAGACATTCTTTTTGAATGTAAGGAGTGTGGGAAGGCTTTCCTGTATAAGTCAGAACTTACTCGACATCAAAGACTTCATACTGGAGAGAAACCTTATGAATGTGATCAATGTCAGAAGGCTTTCCAGAGAAAGGCGTCTCTTACTGTGCATCAGAAAATTCATTCTTGAGACATTCCTTATGAATGTAAAGAATGTGGGAAGGCTTTCCTCTACAGCTCAGATTTTACTCGACACAAAAATATTCATGCTGGAGAGAAGCCTAATGAATGTAATGAATATGGGAACATTTTGAGAGTGAACATACACCTTTCTCAACACCAAAAAATTCATTCAGGAGAGAAGCCTTAAATGTGTAATGCATGTAGGAAGTCCTTTATACTGAGGATACTACTTTAGTCCATCAGAGAATTTATAAGATTCCTCATGAATGTAAGGAGTCTGGGAAGTCCATTGTAACTCAGATCTTATTAAACATCAAAAATTGATGCTGCAAAAAAACCCTATGTATATAGTGAATGTGAGAAGGCTTTTGGAAAGAAGTTACACCTTACTGTGCATCAGAGAATTCAAATTGGAGAAATTCTCTATGAATGTGAGTAGTGTAGGAAGTCCTTCTCTCAGAAAGTCAGATGTTACTCAACTTCACATCATACCTTATGAATGTAATGTACACGGAAAGGCCTTCCACTTGAGTGTAGGTCTTACTCAATATCAGAGCATTCATACTAGAGGAACATGTTATGAATGCAGTGAATGTGAGAAGACCTTCAGGCTGAAGACACAACTTGCTCAACATCAAAGACTTAATTCTGGAGGGAAACCTTTTGAATTTGGGAAAGCCTTTAGACGAAGGACCTACTTGATGTCCATCAGAGAATTCATGCTAGAGTGATTCTTCATGAGTATAAGGAGTGTGGGAAGATTCCCCCAGCTGACTAGACTGTGATTCTGAGTCCCTAGATGTAGTTCAGAGAATCTTTACTTAGGCTGCACGGGAGAAGAAGATATCCCTCCCTCTGTAGAGACCTCTAAAGGGGCAAAGATTTAGTGTTATCCTCCCATGGGCCTTGAGGGATGGACAGGTCATGCTGGCTGTGTCAGAGGTTACTGAGTGGACAGTGGTATTGGGAGAGCCTTAGTATTATCTTTGATCCCTGGGAACGTGGTGTGCAAGATGCTTGGGGATGACCTCTTGGCCATCAGATGAGCCTGAGCCTAATGAGTGATGAATAATAGTTGACGGTGCTTCAGGAATAAATCATAATCTGATAAATCAAAATGAGCTTTGTTCCTGATTTTGCTGGTACTGCTTCTGCTCATGTTCATTTGGGTAGGCAGTGGGGACCATAAAGACTTGGAATCATCTTAATTAAAACAAAGCATCACAAGGCCCTGTGGCAGATTTTGAAACAATGTGATTTCTGCCCAGTGCTCTGAATGTCAAAGGGAAGAAATTCATTGAAATGCAGGTAAACAGCAGGATTGACTATGACCTTCTTATGGTAGCCAAATGCCTTGTCATCCAGTTGGTGACACACGTGAGAAGATACATAAGATTCCCATTATGGTTAGGGAATATAAACAGGGAGTTTTCAATGAAGAAATCAAAAGCTTTCATTAATAATGAAAAAGTGCTCTAAATCACTAACCGTATTAGAGAAATGCAGATGAAAACAACTTTGAGGTAATACCTCACAATACCTCCGATTGGCCAACATGACAGAAAAGGAAAATGACAAATTCTGGAGGGGATATGAAAAAGTAGGCACACTATGCGCAATTCAGAACTGGTCCAACCATTCTGGAGAACGATTTGGAACTGTGCTGAAAGCATTATGAAGCTGTAAATATCCTTTGCACAGCAATACCACAGCTAGGTCTGTATTCCACAGAGATGAAAGAAAAACGAAAAGGACCTACATGTACAAAAATATTTATAGGGGGCCTTTTTTGTGGTGGCAAAGGATTGGAAATTGAGGGGATGATCATCAGTTCCTGAATGGTTGAAGAGGTGATTGTATATGATTGTGATGGAATGTTGTGCTCTAAGAAACAAGGGAGATGATTTGGCAAAACCTAGGAAGACCTATGTGAATAGATGCAGAGTGAAGCGAGCACAACCAGGAGCTCCTTTTATAGAGTAACAGCAACATTTTAATGATGATTACATGATCAGCTGTGAATGACTTAATTACTCTGATCAAGAAAATCATCTCAGACCATTCCAGAGGATTCATGATAAAAAAAAAAATTGCTGTCTACCTCCAGAGATGCCGCGAGCGCTTGCGTTGCCAGCCGTGATTAGATGCTGGTCGAGTATGAAGAGAGAAAGAAATGCGCAGGCCAGCTTGGAGATTGTAAAGGACAGACTCCGTTTATTAATCTCAGGGTAAGGGTTTATATACCTTTAGCAAAAGCAACAACAAGCAGTTTTCTTATGGGAACATTAACCAGAGGAGTCATTCTGATTGTCTCCTCTCTTTCCTGTTATCTTCAAGGTCCTTCTGTTCTGAAGAGATAGAATGGAGGGTAAGGGTGGGGAGGTTGGAGAGCCAACATTCCTGACTTACACAGCCATCGGATAGAGGAAAACAACAGGGAAAACCTGGACTGGCCTGAATCCTCTGACCCATCAGAGCTGGCCCTCAACACAGAGAGACCTGACAAACAGTATGAATTGAAGTATATTCTTTTACTTTTTAATTTTCTTCCTTTTTTATGACATGGTAACATGGCTAAAATATGGAAATATGTTTTCTGTGATTTCACATGTATAATTGACATATTCCTTGTCTTCCGAATGACAGAGGGAGAATTTAGAACTCAATTTAAAAAATAATGTTTAAAATAAATAATATTTTTTTTAAATGATGAGGGGAAAGGATTTGAGTGAGAAGTAGAGTCAGAAATAACTTTCTGGGAATTTGAGAAAAAGTAGGGAAGACAATAAATGCAAGAGAGAAAATGTGGCTAACAAAGGAAACAGGCATTTATTAAGGGCTTGCTAGGTACCAGGTCCTGTTCTGTATGGAGTTTGTATCTAAACTGTGCATTTAAAAAAATCACAGAGTCAGAATTATGCTTTAAATAGGCACTCTAAACTGTTCATGAAGTGTATGGGGTAGTAGCTGTAAACATAGAACTGTACCTGGAAAGAGACTAGGGAAATCCTAACTTCACAAGCTTGATAATGAAGCCTTGCTCCCACCTTGTGTCAGACAGCTGATGGAACAGATGTTTGGAAAAAGACACATTTTTCAGGCATGGTGAATATCTTGATTTTTCTTGCTTGCTTATACTTATCTTTTTCAGTGGGGCTGGGGAGGGGCGGTTCAAATTAGGAGGCAGTGTGCGTTAGTGGAAATTGGTAGGAAGAGAGACTGGACCTTTAGCTCCATTGCTATAAGGTATAATCAGATGAACAAACATTCTATACCAGTGCAGGTGAAGACATTCTCTGCAACTTCTTATCTTTTTTTTTTTAATTAATTTATTTTGACATATCAACAATCACTTCCATGATCTTTTGGGTTTTAAATTTTTTTCCTCCTTTCTCCCCACCTTCCTCCCTAAGATGGCTAGCGATGTGATATAGGTTATACATATACATTCCTACTAAACATATTTTCACATTAGTCATGTTGTAAGAATTAGAACCAATAAGAGGAATCACCAGAAAGAGGAAACAAAACACTACAGAAGGGAAAAAAAAAAGCAAATAATAAGCTTCGATATGCATTCAAATTCCATAGTTCTTTTCTTTGGATGTGGACGGCATTTTCCATAATGAGGCCTTTGGAGATGTCTTAGATCCTTGTATTGCTGAGAAGGGTTTAATCTATCAATATTAGCATGCAACTGATTATGTTATTTCTCTTATTGAGTCAAATCTGCTGAGAGTAAGGTTCAAACAATGCTCATCTCCCTCCCTTTCCCTCTGCTATAATAGGTTTTTGTGCCTTTTCCTGTAATGTGGTTTACCCTTGTCTACCTCATTTTCTTTTCTCTCAGTACATTTTCTTAGATGAGGTTAATCTACTTACTTGGATCCATTTAACCCACTTGATTAGATCTTTATCATCATATCAAAGTCTACTTATACGTACCCACTTTATGTATTCCCCTTAACATGGTGTAATGACAGTGCAGTTTGCAAGGGTTAAAACTCTCATCTTCCCTTGTAGGGATGTAAACAGTTTGCCCTTATTAATGACATGTTGTTTCTTTATGTCCCGTTTACCTTTTTATGTCTCTCTTGAGTCTTGTATTTGAAGATCAGATTTTCTGTTGAGCTGCAACTTCTTATCTTAGAGAGTTGCCTGTGGGACCAGTGTTGTGCCTTAGATCAAAGAGCAGGTGTGTATCAGAGGTTGAACTTAACCCAGCCTTCCTATCTCTCAGACCCCGTCTCTAGACACTATGTGATGCTGCCTTTGGAGAAAGTGATAGCAATTAAGGGGAAAAAAAAGAACAGAGTATCAGTAACACATTTAAAAATAAAATACATTAAAAAAATATGAGAAGAGGACAGTAAATAATTTTATTATTGCCTTCTTAAATGTAATACTGTAAAAAAAAAGAACTGCATGGAATAAGAGTTTATGGCTTTATCCACCACCCTCTTTTTTGTGTTCTTTATGAATCACAATGTTTGTGCTTGTGGAGTGATGAGTTTATAATTTTTAAAATGAAGAAGGAGGAAGAGGCAGAGAAGAGGAATGCAGCAGCTCTAGTCTGTAAAGGAAAGCAATCTGCCTCAGAGAAGGGATGGAACAGAGAGAGGTGCTGTGGAGACTGATCACGTACATTTTATTATGCACAGTTCCCAGCCAGGATGTGCAAAGGAATGGGTGAAATATATTCATGTATGAGTGTGTGAATGTGTGTGTGTGTGTGTGTCTTTTGGAGGTGGAGGTAAGACATATTCAGCTATAACCAAAAAATAAAACAAAAGTAAAGACTTACTGCCAGGGAATTGATTATTTCAAAGAACTACTTCTGGAAGTGCATCACCTGTGTGTGTAAGGAAGAAGTTGCTCATACCACTACTTTATTCTTTCTTCTTGCAAGAAGACTACAAAAAGGGGCAAGTAGATGGTGTAGTGGATAGAGCACCAGCCCTGGATTCAGTCAGGAAGACCTGAGTTCAAATGTGGCCTCAGACACTTGACCCTTACTAGCTGTGTGACCCTGGGCAAGTCACTTCACCCCATTGCCTCTCAAAAAGACTACAAAGGAAAATCATTGTGAATAATAGTCATAATCAAAAGTATTTACCTAACATTTTAAATTTTGCTAAGCCCTGCATAAATATTATCTCATTTATTCCTCATAAGAACCCCATGATGTAGGTGGTATTATCTCCATTTTACAGAAGAGGAAGCTGAGGCAGACAGAGGTTAAGTGACTACTCCAAGGTCAGACTTAATGTGTCTGGCCAGATTTGAAATCAGGTCTTCATGACAGCAGGTCCAGAGCTCTGTCCACTGCACCATCAAGCTGGTGTTATCAGTTCATAGATTTAGAGCTGGAAGTGACCTGAGAGGTCATGAACTTCTACCTCCTCATTTTACAGATGAGGAATGAGGGGCTCATGGAGTCCAAGTTCTTGCACAAAGCCACAGTAGTGATGCCCAATGTAGGGTCGAAACTGAGGCTTACACCCTGGGTGTCACTCTGAACCCCTAACTCCTGCCTCTATAATTAGCAGTCAAGTCTTTCCATTTCTACGTAACACTTTTCTTATATGCCTCCTTCTCTCTTCTGACAGTGCTACCACCCTGGTCCCTACCCTCATCACCTCATGCCCAGGCTATTGCAACAGCCTTCTGATGGGGGCACCTCGGTGGTGCAGCGGACA